ATCCGCAGACACGTCGAGCCGCTCGCCCAAACCGCCGCCCGGCGGGGAAGTGGCTGTCGGCGGCGCCCCCCTCGCTGCTGGAGACGCCGGCGGCCGCCACTCGCCTCGGCTCAGCCGGCGCTGCTCTGTCTCGAGCCGCAGCGCGGCCGCCTCGAGGGCGTGCCTCTCTGCCTCCAGCTCCAGCAGCTCAACTCGCTGCCGCAGCGCCTCGGCGGTCGGCGGAGACGGCGGCGGCGGTGGCAGCGGCGGCGGCGGCAGCGGCAGCGGCTGCAGCGGGGCAGCGGCGGGCAACGGAGCGCCGGCCGAGTTGGCCGGCGACGCAGCTTTGTCCGCTCCTCTCCGCCAAAAGCGGGGGAGCCTCAGCGCAGCTGCGGCGCTCGCCGCTGGCAGGGACGACGAGAGTAGGGCGGCGAGGAGCAGCGCCGCGGCGCGGCGCCGCGAGATCTCTGCAACCATTGGCAGCGAGAAAAACAAACACGCCTCCCAGTGGGGCGGGCTTTTTATTTTTTGAAAAAAGAAAATAAGTTTGCGCCGCGCATGTCGCGCTCGATGTCGGTCTGCTCCGGGGACTGCTCAATGTCGCGCTCGCCCCGCGCACGGCGCACCGAGGACGACGCCCCGCCCACGGACTGGCTGGGCGAGCTGCCGCCGGAGCTGCACCTCCGCATCCTCGAGGGCGTCGACGACTTCTCCGACTGCGCCGCCTTCAGCCTCGCGTCGCCACGCCTCGGCCTCCTCGCCCTGCGCAGCGGCCTGGCGCGCTTCAAGGACCCCCTCTTCGCCGTGGCGATGCGGCTGCTGCTCATCCAACGCTTTGCCGGTGCCTTCGTCACGGTGTCGGCAACGCTGAACGAGGGCACCCTTCGCGCCTACACCGCCGACCGCCGCGCCAGCGCCGACCACTTCCCGTGGCTTGCGAGGGTGAGCCCGGCGCTCTGCCTCTCGTCGGAAGTGACGGGTGCTGGCGCGAGTCGCGCCAAATACTGGAGACTGCGGCGCGGCGACGCGAATGGCGCGAATCTGCGGCGACGCCTCTTGCAGTCCGGCCAGGTGCAGCACTACGAGGGCGAGAAAGGCGCGGAGCGGAAGGTGCGCATGGAGACTGCCAACGGCAACGTGCTGCACTACGAGGGCGAGCGGGGTGCGGAGCGGCTGGTGCGCACGGTGTTTACCAGCGGCAACGTGCATTACTACGAGGGCGAGAAAGGCGCGGAGCGGAAGGTGCGCGCGGTGTTTACCAACGGCCAGGTGCAGCACTACGAGGGCGAGAAAGGTGCGGAGCGGCTGGTGCGCACGGAGTTCGCCGACGGCGAGGTGCAGTACTACGAGGGCGAGAAAGGCGCGGAGCGGAAGGTGCGCGCGGTGTTTACCAACGGCCAGGTGCAGCACTACGAGGGCGAGAAAGGTGCGGAGCGGCTGGTGGGCACGGAGTTCGCCGACGGCGAGGTGCAGTACTACGAGGGCGAGAAAGGTGCGGAGCGGTGTGTGCGCGTAGTGCCACGCGCGAGCGAGGACAAGGCGGCCGCGGAGAAGCGGTACCAGGCCATGCGAGTCGCAGAGCTGAGGAGCGAGTGCGAGCGCCTCGGCTTGGCCACCACCGGCGTCAAAGCAGCGCTCGTGGCGCGCCTCCTGGCGGCCTGAGCCTGTATTCACCTGTACCTGTTGAACTCGCGCGCGCGCACACCCCCGCCGTACATGGGTAAAGCCGTACGCTCGTGAATGAAATCCACGCCGCAAGGCAGCGACTGTGCCGTGACCCATGTACGTCACCCCGTATATAAGCGTTAGACACATGAAAGGGAAAACCCTCTCCCTTTTCGCAACCCGGCTCCACGCGGATCGTGGATCGATGCCATCGATCGTCGAAAGTGAGTGTCCGCAGCCACCAGCCTAACCGAACCGCCGGAGCCGCGCTGCGCGGACCTCTTCGGCGGAAGGCGGCGCGGGGGGCGGCGCCAAAGACTCCCCCGCTGGCTCCTCCGGCTCGTCCCCCTCCGTCGCCCCGCCGTCGTCGTCGGAGAGCTCGATCGGCGCCTCCTCGCAGCCAAGCCCGCCCGCCGCCACCGTGCCTGCCTGCCGGCTGAGCGCAAGGGCGCGCTGAAGCGCCTCCTCCTCCCCCCCCCTCCCAGCCGCGCCCCCCGCAACATCGGTCCCCGCCCGCTCGACGTCGGCGAGACTCGCGGCGATCGCGGCAGCGAGGTCGGGGTCGGCGCCGGCAGCGTCCGGCCGAGCGAGATCGTGCAGAGCCGCGCCCTCGCTCGGCGCCGGCTGCAAGCTTGCGGCGATCGCGGCAGCGAGGTCGGGGTCGTCTTGAGAGCTCGGCGGCGCCGCCCAAGGCTGAGGCTGCAGGCGGCGCGAGGCGGCAAGAGCGGCCTCGTAGTCGCCCGCCTGCCGCGCCTGGAGGGACGTGCCGCGGACGTGTCACGGACGCGTCCTCCACATACATGTCCCGTAGTCGCCCGCCTGCCGCGCCTCGTGCTCCCGCGCCGAAGCCTCGAGCACCGCCGCCAATGCCTCCTCCTCGCCGCCGCCGCCGCCGCCGCCGCCGCCGCCGCTGGAGGCCGCCCCTCCGCCGCCCTCCCGCTTGGCGCGCAGAAAGACCTCGATGGCGAGCCACTCCTGACTCGTCAGAATGATGCGGCTCAGTGCTCACTCGTACAAGAAGGCACCGCGAGAGCGATCCGCTCCTCGGGCGCAAAGGGCGCGGCGGCGAAGACGCCCTCCGACGACGCGCCGCGCGCCCACGGTGAGGCGCCGCCGCCGGCCCCGCCGCCGCCGCCGCCGCCGCCTGCGTGGCTCAGCCACCGGTGCATCGCCGTGGCGGAGCTGGCGGCGGCGGCCTCTCGCTTAGACGCGGCCGACGGGCCGGCGGCGGTTGCCCCGTGGTCGTGGTCGTCGGCGATCTCGACGTCGATGGCGCCGAGCTCCTCCTGCACGCCCGACGCGGCCACCACCATGAACAGACGGCGCGACCGCGGCGCAACCTTGCCGAACGCGCGGTACGCCTGCCACTTCGCGGGCCAGCGCGGCCCACGCTCGCCGTTCGCCGGCGGCGGCGGCACGCCGCGCGCCGCCCGCTCGGCCTTGGCCCTCTCCTCCTCGTCGGCGCGCCGCCGGTAGTAGGCGTCGGCGAGCTCCTATGGGACATGTCCAGGACATGTCCGTGGCGCGTCGACGACACGCCCCCTCGGGCGGCAGCAGGCGTCGGCGCGCTCCTTCTGGTTGGTGAGCAGCCCGTCGGCCGAGCGGGCGCTGCACGACTTGACGTACGCCGTCGCCCGCAGAGCGAGGTGCTCCTCGTCCGGCCGCCCCCAGTTGTAGGCGGCGATGAGGGTGATCTCGGAGCCGCGCACGGTGAGCACGGCGGCGGTCGGCGAGAGGCGGATGACGCGCCTGAGTAGTGAAGCGAGGAAGGAGGTAGCTCTTCATGAGGGAGCAGCTTCGGCGAGAGGGGTCTGTCGCGCGCCGGCTAATGCGCGCGTCGGCGCCTTCCGCGAAGAGGAGGGGTGCGTGCTCGGGCTGCAGCATCAGCCTCTCGAGCTCGGGGGCGCGGGCGAGCCCTCGCGGCAGTGAGGCGGCCGCGGGAGAGACACGCGAGGCGAGCGCGAGGTGGAGGGCCTGCGACAGTGAGGCGAGGGGTGAGGGGACAGCGAGGCGGGGTGAGGGCCTGCAAGGTGTGTGTGGGTGGCGGGGGTATGTGGGTTACGAGGGGAGGGCGAGCTCGCACAGCCATTCATTCCCATTCACTCCTCCTCTGGTTGGCTAAGCTGAACGGGCTCCTGCAGCGCGAGCTCGCTGCTCCTCTCGACCGCCAGGAAGCTCGCCGCCTCCGCAGGAGGGTAGCTCGACACCTAACCACCTCGGGGGACCTCGGGTAACCTCGGGTAACCTCGGGTCCTCTCGGGTGACCTCTGGTGACCTCGGGTGACCTCGGGTCCTCGGCTCCTCTCGGCTCCTCTCGGCTCCTCTCGGCTCCTCTCGGGTCCCCTCGG